CATGGTGCAATCTCGGCTCACCGCAACCTCCGCCTCCTGGGTTCAGGCAATTCTCCTGCCTCAGCCTCCTGAGTAGCTGGGATTACAGGCACGCGCCACCATGCCCGGCTGATTTTTTGTATTTTTTTAGTAGAGACGGGGTTTCACTATGTTGACCAGGATGGTCTCGATCTCTCGACCTCGTGATCCACCCGCCTCGGCCTCCCAAAGTGCTGGGATTACAGGCGTGAGCCACCGCGCCTGGCGACTACTGGATTCTTATATATGCTTCTACATTCATTCTGTTGAAATATGTTGTTCTGATTGAAGTATATAAAGAAAATGGGTACTCACATACACATGTATTGGAAAAGGAAGACTTAAATGGCTTTTTCAAATAACTGTGGACGTTTTTCTTTGATACTACACCAAAATTTGACAAGTGGTAGTTTCTTTTCTTTTTTTTTTTTTTTTTTTGAGATGGAGTTTCACTCCTTACCCAGGCTGGAGTGCAATGGCACAATCTCGGCTCACCACAACCTCCGCTCACCGCAACCTCTGCCTCCTGGGTTCAGGCAATTCTCCTGCCTCAACCTCCTGAGTAGCTGGGATTATAGGCACGTGCCACCATGCCCAGTTAATGTTTGTATTTTTAGTAGAGATGGGGTTTCACCACGTTCACCAGGATGGTCTTGATCTCTTGACCTTGTGATCCACCCGCCTCGACCTCCCAAAGTGCTGGGATTACAGGCTTGAGCCACCGCGCCCGGCAGGACAAGTGGTAGTTTCTTAAAGGTTAACTATAACATTGACTCAAGCCATACTAATGAACTTTTTGTGCTATATTAAAATCTGATGGTTTATCATGCATGTAGAATAGACTTTCAGCCATGCATAATTTTGAAATATCACACAGTCATTTGAGAGATGCCAGTTCACTGAGTTATGCAGAACTTCCAAACATTAGCAAGTTAATATACAACACCAAAAAATTTATAAAGAGACAGTCTTGCTCTGTCATCCAGGCCGGAGTGTGGCAGCACCATCATAGCTCACCATAACTTTGAACTCTTAAACTCAAATAATCCTCCCATCTCAGCATCCCAAGTAGCTAAGACTCTAGGCATATGCCACCATGCTGAGGCTAATTTTTGTATTTTTTGTAGAGGCAGGGTCTTGCTATGTTGTCCAGGCTGGTCTTGAATTCCTGGCTTGAAGCCATCCCTCCACCTCAGTATCCCAAAGCACTGGGATGACAGGCATGAGCTGCTGCATGCAGCCCTCATATTTGTGAATGTTGCCATCCGTTTCATCACAAGAGAGTTTAAGTACTGAGAAGCCCTCATGCTCATGATGACAAAAAAGTTTTCCAAAATTCCAATTTTTGCATGAAAGTTTTAATTTTGCCTTTGGTAATAAACACTAGCAACTGTTTGCTTCCAAATAACCATAGTTCTAATTCCTTTCAAATCCATACTGTTTTTGAAAAAAAGTGGCTAACTTAGTCACAACTCGAACAATCAGGTAAGATAACCACGGGCATGGGGCAGACACACTTGATGTGTGCTTCCCATTTTATCACATAGAATATTAAAAAGGTGTGTACTCAGTATCAAGGGTTAACAAAATTAATAAATTTTATCTCGTCATAAAGGAACTTCTTAAGTAAGTTCAAATGGCATTAAAAATGTTTTTTATTGTGACTATAATCTACGAGTAATTTATTGTCTCTGCCTTGATTCATACTAAGATACAAGAAGTTCTACTCATCAATGCTTTTGTACCAACAGTGCACAGGTCAACACAGTGAAAAATGGCAACTAATCACTTAGTATTATTATGAAATATTTTTGAACTTATGCAGCTTCTAAAAGGTTATCAGGGATAAAATTGCTAGAATTAGCAAATAAAAATACAGGAGGCCTAGTTAAATTTGAATTTCAGATATACAACAAATACTTTTTTAGTATAAATGTGCCCCAAATATTACCTGGGATGTACATATACTAAAAATACTGTATATCTGAAATTTAAATTGAACTGGATGTCCCATATTTCACTTGGCAACTGTATTCAGGAATCCACATTTTAAGAACCACTGCTTTAGGGCAAGAGGCATTAAGTTCAAATTGGAATGGATTATTTCTCAAGTACTAATACTTAAGCTGATTGAGGGATTAATACTTTGTTTTTTTTTATAGAAAATATCATCTGAAATTATCTTAGTTTATTTGCATCCATTGTCTTCCTCCCTCAAGAACGTAAGATTCATAAGGAAGGGATCTTGTCTGTCTTGCTCATCACTATATTCCTAGCATGGAGCACAAAAGAAATTCAGTAAATATTTGTTAAATGGACAAGTGATAAATAACTAAGAAATGCTGTAATGCAAATGCTCATAGAAAATGAGCAACTAGAACTGAGATAGAGGAAAGATCCCAAGGTTCTGTGATATTGATTAAAAGTGCTCCCAGCTGCAAGGTACCCACTGTTTCCTCAAAAGGGTGGAGGCCCAGGAACACCACAGTGGGTTTGGTAGTCTAGGTTTCAGCCCAAAAAGGGCTTAGGGACTATGGACCAAAAAAAAAAAAAAAAGGCCTGCCTGGTGTGGTGGCTCATGCCTGTAATCCTAGCACTTTGGGAAGCCAAGGTGGGCAGATCACAAGGTCAAGAGATCGAGACCATCCTGGCCAACGTGGTGAAACCCTGTCTCCACTGAAAATACAAAAAAATCTGCTGGGTGTGGTGGCGTGTACCTGTAATCCCAGCTACTCAGGAGGCTGAGGCAGGAGAATTGCTTGAACCCGGGAGGTGGAGGCTGCACTGAACTGAAATCATTCCACTGCACTCCATTCTGGGTAACAAAGTGAGACTCTGTCTCAAAAAAAACAAAAAATAAAAAAACTGTGGTATTCTAAAGCAAATACTATGCCAGGCCAGGTGTGGTGGCGTACGCCTGTAATCACAGCACTTTGGGAGGCCTAGGTGGGTGATCACTTGCGGTCAGAAGTTCAAGATCAGCCTGGCCAACATGGCGAATCTCCATCTTTACTAAAAATACAAAAATTAGCCAGGCGTGGTGGTAGACTCCTGTAATCCCAGCTACTTGGAGGCTGAGGCAGGAGAATCACTTGAACCTGGGAGGTGGAAATTGCAGCAAGCCGAGATCACATTATTGCACTCTAGCCTGGGGAACAGACTAAAAAACCTTTTTAAAAAAAAAAAAAAAAAAAAGAAAAGAAAAGAAAAAGAAATGCTACCCCTGTAGCCCAGCTAAGCCTCCTCACATTTAAACATTATCTATCTCCAGGTCTCAACACACTTTATGAAAAATAACTATTCTTAGAAGGAAAGATAGGGAAGAAAGAACAGCATCGGGCAGCCAAGGCCTTAATGACAGGCAGGGTGTGACTCTTTTATTCACTACAGGAAGCTAAGAGGTTCCAAAGTTGTACATTCAGGGAAACAAGAATGCAGAACCTCTTCCTCGGTTTTATTTAAATGTTTTCTCACAAGAACTACATGTCTTAAAAGGCTATGTTTTCCAAACTTAATCTCTAAATTATAAAGTTTGGCTAGAATACTCAAATACTTTAAACAATGTCCAAACTCTCCTAGTTGGTTGTTGATTTCTTTATTTGTCATTCTTTTGGATTTAGAAAATAATAGTTTTAGAACATATTTTTAAAATGCACAATTTTTCAGTTACCTGAAATATTAGGTTTCTTTTTCACTGGTGAATAAACAGAAAATATCCACTGCCCTGATGATTCCCAAACCTCCATATCTTTTACAATTCCTTCCCTGCAAAAAAGACAAAAAAGCAATAAAAAGTGAAGGATCTTCTTAGCTGCTTGGTAAAATCTATTGTCAATGATTTTCAACAACTGAAATTGTAAATTCTGGTAAAAACATAGTTCAAAATCTTTTCCATTATGTTTTCTGAAGAGTGTTCTTTAAAACACAAGTTTATAGAAGTGTGAAATATATTTCATGGTTATACATAGTATTATAATGTCAGAGAAGTTAATGAGTTTGATTTTCCAATACGCTGAACCATTAACCACTATACTTACCTTAAAAACAATCATAGATACCATACTCCTTTTAGGAATTAAAATCTAAAACACCAACTTTAATCTTTCTGTGTTAATTATCACAAACATCAATAATCATTTAACTGAGAACAAAGTACCACTTACATGATACAGAATTATAACATTTTAAAAGTGGGTTATAGGTCTTCAAAGATCATTTTATCTAATTCTCACATTTTGCAACAGGAGAAACAGACCCACATCCATACAACTAATCTGCGGTAAAGCCATAGGTAGATTCAGCTCTAAATTAAAGTTTCCTCCTAGTCAGACTGTGTCAATAAAAGGAGAATTATCACAGAGAAAACTGTGTTAAATTTAGGATTGCAACAAATACAGAAAGGAGGGTTTTGTTTGTTCATTTACTTAAAAAAAAAATTGGTTGTATATGGTACATGGCTCAAAACGTCTACCACTGGTTCTGATTTAATTAGGAAAAGTAAAAGACTAACAAATTACATTTAAATTCCATCCTGGGCACCATAAGTTGAGGAAACATTACAGATAACCAAGCATTGTTTTGACACCAGTCATAAATTTTATCATAAATATTCTCAAGAAATGTCATGTATCTACTCCACAGTAAATGTAGGAAATCAAATGAGATCAATTTGAATAGGATAATCTAAGTAAAAGTTTTAGAAAGAAATAAGATACACAGCTGGGCATGGTGGCTCATGCCTATAATCCTAGCACTTTGGAAGGCTGAGGTTGGCAGATCACAAGACCAGCCTGGCCAACATGGTGAAACCCCATCTCTAATAAAAACACAAAAATTAGCTGACTTAGTGGCGGGCATCTGTAATCCCAGCTACTCAGGAGGCTGAGGCAGGAGAATGGCTTGAGCCTGGAAGGCAGAGGTTGCAGTGAGCTGAGATTGCACCACTGCACTCTAGCCTGGGCAACAGAGCAAGACTCCATTTCAAAAAAAAAAAAAAAAAAAGAAAGAGATAGTATATAAGTAACCTCCAAGTTCACAAATTGTTCTAAATTACATCATATTTTGTTAAAGGACTTGTAAGGTAGAATGAACTTAAGCAGGACTAATCTTAGGAAGATATTCACAATATAGTGTTATCAACAGAAAGTGGAAAAGGTGTAATTACCCCTAAGAAGGCACTCTACGCCGGGCGCGGTGGCTCACGCCTGTAATCCCAGCACTTTGGGAGGCCGAGGCGGGTGGATCACGAGGTCAAGAGATCGAGACCATCCTGGTCAACATGGTGAAACCCCGTCTCTACTAAAAATACAAAAAATCAGCTGGGCATGGTGGCGCGTGCCTGTAATCCCAGATACTCAGGAGGCTGAGGGAGGAGAATTGTCTGAACCCAGGAGGCGGAGGTTGCGGTGAGCCGAGA